TGCCTAATTTCTAGTAAACCCAATTAGATTATCACGTACAATAGGTGGCATTGCAGAATGTGTACACTCTTTCAGTTCAGTTGTATCTACGTCATAAGTGTCAATTCAGTGTTATAATATATCATTGTAATTTGGATATATTACGTTAAAACATATTTCAGAAATGTTTATATAATGACATATTCGGGGAAGCCCATCTGGGAATGTTTAACCAGATTAAACCCCCAGGTCAGGGGAAAAGGCAGGCAAAAAGAAAAGGTAGTTTTCTAATGAAATGTCGTCTTTAAAGGGATTTAAATTTTTTCATAAATGTCGTATTTCACAATTTTTTGGAACACATCAGAAATATTTAAAAATTAGTGTTTGAAATATGAAATTAATGGAAAATCTATGTACAATGTTACCCACAAATGATAAGACTGTAAAGACGACATGAAACCCTAGAAACCAGCGACGTCGCTGGTTTCTAGTCCAATTAGGTCGAGATAGGTCAGGTTAGGTCGGGTTACGTCAAATTACCAAATTGGTCGCAATATGACCAGTCCCCTTAGGTCGTGTTAGGTCAGGTTAGGTCGGGTTACGTCAGATTACCAAACTGGTCGAAACATGACCAGTCCCCCAGGTCGTGTTTGGTCAAGTTAGGTCGGGTTAGGTTGAGTTACCTAACTGGTCTCATACTGGTCTTAACCTGACCAATCCACTTAGGTCAGATTTGGTCGAGATTGGTTGAGTTATGTCAGGAGACCTAACTGGTCCGAACATGACCAGTCCCCCTAGGTCGTGTTTGGTCAGGTTAGGTCGGGTTAGGTTGAGTTACCTAACTGGTCTCATACTGGTCTTAACCTGACCAATCCACTTAGGTCAGATTTGGTCGAGATTGGTTGAGCTATGTCAGGAGACCTAACTGGTCGTAACATGACCAGTCCCCCTAGGTCGTGTTTGGTCAGGTTAGATCGGGTTAGGTCGAGTTACCTAACTGGTCTCATACTGGTCTTAACCTGACCAATCCACTTAAGTCAGATTTGGTCGTGATTGGTTGAGTTATGTCAGGAGACCTAACTGGTCAGAAAATGACCAGTCAAACAACAACAGAAGGACAGTTATGGTGTGAATGTAATACCAGGGGGGGAGGGTTAAAGTGTAGCAGTACTAATAGAATAAATTAGGCTCTGCTCATTGGTTAATAAATAAATGACTTGTTTAATCATTTGGACGTCAAAACTTTGGTAATTTGGACGTCAAAAGTTTGGTCATTTGGACGTCCAAAGTTACGTCATTTCGACTTTGACAATTTGGTCGTAAGGACTTAAGAATCCTTGCGTTAAACGTCCTCAACACGTCCTCAACACCTAAAATATGACGTCGCCGGACGTCGCACTGGTAATTATGGACGTCCCCATGACGACCTTAGGACGTCCTCTGGTTTCTAGGGAACTTTTTAAATATTACAAACTCAAGGTTAAAGTAAGTTTTCCCATAAATCAAAAAAATTTAAATCCATTAAAGTAATTTCTGAAAAAGAAATTGATCAAGTTAAATGCTTGAAGTTTTTTGCTGGAGGGGGGGGGGGTTGTAATATACTTCAAGGGTAGAGCATGTACAAATGTGAATTCAACATCACATTATTATGCATAAAATGATATCGTTTTTAAAAATAAATTATTTTTTTGTTTGTTTAGGGGGCGGGGAAGAACTTGTTTTGTGTCTGGATGGCGTCCTCCCCTTGGCAAAATCCAGTTTTGCATTCTCCCTGAACAAGAAGACAAATTGTGGCCTAATCCTTTAAAAATTGAAGAGACAACTGAAATCAGAGATAACCGATTTTCTGCTCTATATTTATTTTTTAATAAATGATTAAAACGTTTTTGTATTTTATTGGTTTTTGTTGCTGTTGTTGTGTATGATGCTATAGTGTTGTTGACTTTAAAGTCACTATAATAAAATAAAGAGATCCAAATGGATATTTCTAACATTTATTTAAAAAAAGAAAGTTTTGAAATATTTGCATATAAGACGGAGTTAAAATTGGTTGATTTAGAAATTAACAAAGAATTAATGATGAATATTTGATGGCACTTCATGGGAATGTTGTAGAGCTTCATGTTGGTGGAGCAGATCAACAGGAACTGGGACAACAGGGCTTATCAAAATCAGTAGGAAGAGATCGCGGCTTGTCATGCTGGCTATGAGCGATTATGTTGTCTCTGGAATGCATGATGAACTGGGAACCCTCGGGTATAAGCACGCCTGCTGTTAGCTCAGTATCTGTATCATCATCATGAAGGAGTCAAGAGGCTCCCTGTGTCGGAGCTGTTACTAGCTCAACTCTCCTAACCTGACTGAGGGCTGGGATGTGTAGAGGGGTGAGGGGGGNAATATTTTACCATAAGAATTCAAAGTTTGATATCTACGAGTACTCTATAAACTCAACACAAATAAAATACAGTTCAGAACTTTTTTTTACATTAAATGTTTACAATAGCCTTTAGCCTTGAGAATTGAGAAAGATAAAAATATATTTTTTAAAACTAACTATAGTATAATAAAATTTCTACAATAACTCTATTTGTTTTCTTATTCCTGTGATACTGATTTTCGCCATTCTTTCTTTCTTTTCATTCTGCAGGGGGGGGGCGCCCCCCCCCTCTCAGGTGCTAGGGGAGGGCGCGCGCCCGGTCGCCCCCCCCTAGTTGCGCCTATGCTGGGATAGTATATAGTATTGTGAGCCGAACAAAAGGAATAATACTCGAAAGAGGGAAATAAGGCGAATTGGCTAGGGAAACACTCTATTCTACCGGCCATACATAGATGAGAACCTCTTCTTGAAAAAAATGTATATTTCAGTAACGAGGTTTCCTACAAAATACAAATTGTTATTGGCGTACATGCATATAAATAATAATTGTTAATAAATATTAAACTAGTTGGGTGTAATTGAATACATGAATATTGTTGTAAACTAACAATTGGTTAATGAAATATGTATCATTGAGAATTGAACAAAGGTTTAAAGGTCCTGCTGTGAATCGGCAATAAAGGTTTGAAGGTACTGTTGTGAATCGGCAAATAAAGGTTTAAAAGATATTGTTGTGAATTAAGTATACGGAACTTACAATCTAGAAAACTGTGGCACGGCGAAAAGTTGTTTGAACTGAAGTCTAAAGCAATTTAATTCTTCTGAAATAAATATTTATCTGGTTAAAGTAATTTCACTGTTTATTTGCAAATGATTCACTGAAATTATGTTTAAATTGGTTCTTTTAATGCACTTTAAGTTTTATTCGCTCCATGAGGTTTTTGTTTTTATTTACACGGAAGCCTTGGAAATGTTTGGTTTGGTAAGTGGACAGAGGGTTCAACGAAGTTACAGTTTGTCAGAGACGACCTTACAACAGGGTAATTTTAGGAATATGGTTCACAAGTATATAGTATATACTCTATGTAATTTGAGTTGTCTTTCTATTTAATAGATTTTGGGATATCTGAAGTTTTTTAAGTATTCCTACAAAGACGTTATTTATCTAAGCTGAATCTTGAAAATCATATTTACTAGTTTTTAACTTTTTTACTTTTGACACTTGTGACGTTGTGCGCAGTTGGACGATTTTTCTGTTGCCATCTATTGTACAGGGTGTCCCACGAAACATGACAATTAGTGAATGATTTTAAATGTTTTTTCCCATATATTACATTATATATTAAAGATTTTGTGCAGTTTAATTCGTTAACACAATCTTTTACTCAAATATATTTTACTTTCAAATTAATTTTACTTTCAAATAAATTTTACTGAAAAATAACTGCCATGTTTTATTTCTAATTAATGATAATTAATCTCTATTGTATCAAAGAACTTAACATATTATGGAAGAAGACATTTAAAACTATTCACCAACTGTCATGTTGCGTTGGACACCCTGTACTTGACAATCTATTTGAGTAAACCTACATTTAAAGAGTTGTATCATTACATGCCTGTTTTTAACAGTATCTTTAAAGTCTTTTCTGAGCAAAAATTATGATAAGTTTCAGTAACAGTAATATGTGGATTCTGTGGATTTATACCTTTTTTACCTTTTTCTTGTTACTCAGATAAGGTTAAAGCTTTTGATCAATGAGAGATCAGTAAATCAGTTATAGCAAAACTGAATCAGCTTGGTTTCTTCAAAAGTTCTTAGCTCCTAGAGGTTTATCTGTGGAGAACGGGTGGGAGGGGGGGGGGGGCTCAAAATCTTCATTAAATATTTAAACTATGATTTATGACTGGATGAAGTGTAGTAAACTACCCCCTCTCAACCAATAAGTATTCAGTCAGAGATTTGTCGCAGCTTATCTACAGTTCTTCGGAGTTCAACCAGAGGGGGTTTAAGGGAGGGGGGGGGGTCGTCCCCCTGGAAAAATTGGGGTGGGGGACATCCCCTCCCCTGGAAAAATATAGGGCATAACTATAAAGAGGGGGCAACTTCTATAGTCTCTTTCATTTGTTTTTTTAATTTCGACATCTTTCAATTATCAACCCCCCCCCCCCTCCCCGGCCTGGAAAATATTGTTCTAGTTCAACCCTGGTTAAATTTCTTGGGAGGGGGGGGGGTGAGCAGTCATTTGTTAAAGAAATTGAAGACCAAATAGATCAAGGTTATAATGCAAGGAAAGTTAATGGCAGTTGTGCATACTCTATGTACATTTTGAAACCAGTTCTCTCTGAGCGGAATTTGTAAACAAGAATAGATGCATTAGTGTTCGTTAGAATCCGAGGAGGTTAAAAGCATTAAATTTAGATACTATTGATAATTCCCATACTAGTTTCCTATGACCAAAATATTTCATTGACTTTTTATGTGAAAGATGTATCCCATGTCAGGCTGTGACATATGTCTTGTGTTTACATTACCGCCCAGTGACGTACACTGCAGTACAAAAGATGCGTACACCTCTGCAATAACTTTCCTTGCATTATAACCTTGGATCTAACTATCTATCTATATAGCCAAGCCACCAAGTGCCGATAAAATCATTTATTTTAGTTTTATAGAAAAGGAATTAGAGAATACATTAAACACAAAAGTTTCAGTTATTAAAGATTTCTGATATTGATTGATTCATTCATTGATTGATTGATTTATTGATTGATTACTCGATCAGAGTTAGAGTTTTCATGTCAACGGTCCTAAACAAATGAAAAAAAAATTATTTTGTCTCAGCTATCTTAATTATCGTCAACTTTGGTTCTTTAGTGTCTATTGTCTGTTGTCTATTGTCTGTTGTCTGTTGTCTATTGTCTGTTGTCTGTTGTCTATTGTCTATTGTCTATTGTCTATTGTCTATCGTCTATCGTCTATCGTCTATTGACTATTGTCTATTGTCTATTGTCTATTGTCTATTTTCTATTGTCTATTGTCTACTGTCTATTGTCTATTGTCTTTGTCTAATGTCTATTGTCTATTGTCTATCATCTATCGTCTATCGTCTATTGTCTATTGTCTATTGTCTATTGTCTATTGTCCATTGTCTATTGTCTATTGTCTATTGTCTATTATCCATTGTCTATTGTCTATTGTCTATTGCCTATTGCCTATTGTCTATTATCTATTGTCTATTGTTTATTGTTTATTGTCTATTGTCTATTGTCTATTGTCTATTGTCTATTGTCTATTGTCTATTGTCTATTGTCTATTGTCTATTGTCTACTGTCTATTGTCTATTGTCTTTTGTCTATTGTCTATCGTCTATCGTCTATCGTCTATTGTCTATTGCTATTGCCTGACCTGCCCTGAAATGCGACTGAATACATATTACTGGCCCACATTAGTTCAGGATTATGAGGAGTTTGCTTCAAGTGTTGAGAACCAAACAGATTAGATTCCTTTAATTAGCGTTAGCGTAATTTTAAGTGACCCAGAGTGACTCAAAGATGGCAATGCCCGATTTACAACGGTACTCTTGAAACCTTCGTCGGTTCAAACATGTGGAAAATATTGTCGTTTTTCTGGGTTTAGAAACTTTGTTAAATCTGAAAATTCCTGAATATATTCTGCAATAGAAATGCACAAGTCTTGGTCAGACAAAGTGTACTGTTGTTAAGTGGGCATGGACATCTTTGCATAGAGGGACACATAATATATCTTACAGTGGGATCCATTAAACTCTGGAATTGGAAGACGATATTTAAGCAATATTTTTTTATTAAGTTTTACCAGTAGCTTACACACATAATCTGTAGGGCAATGAGTTGTTGTTAATCGTGTATGGCATTTTTTGAAATACAGAAGTTCACAATTAAAATAATGTTGTGAAAAGGTCTAAAAAAAACTATAAACATGAAAAGAGTTTTTATTTCCGTAGTAAAGAATTTTTATCATTTATTTACGCAAAACCATAAACCATATTTTTTTCTTTCTTTGAAAAATCTACTCAGCAGTTTCTGTAAGAATTGAAGAATACTGATTTGGAAAGCATGTAAAATAAAAAGGAAGATATCTTTAAGAATGTAATTGGATAGTATCAAAAATATATAACAATATAAAGATAATATGATAGCATGATTATTATTATTTTTAAGCCGACATTTTTTTTTTATTTCTACAATAACTTAAAATTTAAAATATAAAATATAACCGAAAATATCGAATATCCTAAAAGTTTGAAAAATATCACTTAAAATTTAATAAATTGCTTAAAAAATATAAAATCAACGAAAGAAATGCAAAAAATAATCATTCAATGAGTAACATACAGGGTGTCCCACGAACATTAAAATTGGTAAATAGATTTAAAATGTCTTCTCCCATAATTTGATAAGTTTTTTAAAACAGTGAAACCCTTAATAACGAATACATCGGACAAATTTTTCAAATGTCGTCTTGACAATTTTTCAATGAGTTTTATACTATATTTTGTAAATTTCAGTATTTGCGAAAATAAATAAATAGCCATGAATATGCAGGAACAGTTTCAAAGAGTTTCATATAATCATTAATTAAAAAAACTAAATATCTGCAACATTTCATTATCAGAAAGTAAAAGAATACGACATTTGATGAATTCTTTCGATGTATTCGTTATTAAGGGTTTCACTGTACTAAAGAGACTAATAACATTTTTTATAAGACGGTTATGCTATAGTAAAATTGATTTCACAGGTTAAACTTTTTTTAAAAGAAATAAACTACAAAAAGTCTTTAATATCTAATACATACTGTGGAAGAAGACATTCAAAACTTTTCACCAACTGTCATATTTCGTGGGACACCTTGTACATCCGGAAAACTATAAAGATTATTCAGTAAATGACAAACCTTTGAAATATATTTGACGAAAAGGTCATCAAACCTTAGTAACGAGGACTCATACTCTTCCCTAAATTCATAGATTAATTAAATAACAGATAGGACACTAAATTTCGTCTTTGCAAAATTTCTGTGTGCTTCGTTTACAATAACGCTGGAGTTACGTGTAGTTGGCGTAGAACAAAGACAGATAGAGAGCCTGTTATACGCCGACAACGTGTAACTCCTTTGGGCTTCTGCCTCAGGTTTATTGTGAATGAACACACGGAAATATTGAATATTTAGTGTACTGTCTATGCCTAAATTGATATTGAATTACGAAAAATCATTAGTTTCAGAGCGGTGTAAAATTGGGGGGGGGGGGCATATTGTTTTACATTGTTTTGTGTTGTCTTAATTCTTGATTGGAAAGCATGTTTGTTACGAAATTGAAAAAAAACTGATTGTGTATAATTGATTCCAATCTGTGAAATTTCTCAAAATCATGTAGTGATCATTTCCAACTAAGAATTCATTTTGCTAAAACAAATTGTCAAAGTTTGAAATTTCATAAGTTTTTGCCATCAGATTTCCAACATAAAGAGATTTGAAAATTTGAGTTTGTGGAAAGCAGATTTGGTGGCAAGTAATCAAACTTTAAACCGCTGTGCGGGTATAAAAAAAAGGAAACTAAATGGGAAAACCAGACTGAGAAAGGAAAAGACTTCTTCAAAGCTAACATATATATATCTAGAAAAGATTTGTTTTCATGCTAATTCCTAAATTTATATTAAAAATATATTTTTAAAATTAACCTCTAATTCTTTCTTTTTCATTTATAAATAAATTAGAAGTTTATTGCGTGATTTCTAAATATAATGTTGTTATTTTTTTATATTTGCAATAATGCAGAAGAGACACCTAGTGGAATTGTAAATAAAGATAATAATATACAAAGGAAGCCAGTATTTCAACATGGAACTCCCAACTAACATAATATTTGTTTAACAATGGAATGATAGATAAGGATGTGTGTCAACTACACTAAAATATTATAATCACTCTACTCTAATATTTGACACAATTCAAGTTGTGAATTTGCATCGAAATGTTCCAAAAGTACCAAAAGTAGAAACATATCCATTTTTTTCTAGACTAGAGTGTAAATTTTTTTGCCAAAAATGATAGCCTTGCTTGACCATTTTATTTAAAAGCATAGGAATGTTATTTTTACTGCAGCACTTGCTTAAACAAATTAGGAGTGTCGGGTTTGGACCAATTCACGGTTTGGAACTTTCTTCCCTTAAAAAAGTTAAAATGTAAAAACAAATTCATCAAACCAAATTTCTTATATTTATTCAAAATTATCATTTTTTTATTTTAATTATTCTTTTAATTAAAATATCTGATAAAAAAATAGCTGTTTTTAGCTTGTATGGCTATTTACACAGATAGCTGGACCCTAATTAAGGTACACGGTGCATGTACAATGTACATAGTACAGCACATTAGTTTACACTGTACATACAGGGTGTTCCATGAAACATGACAGTTGGTGAATATTTAAATATGTCTTCTTCCATAATATGTTAAGTTGTTTGATATCAAAGAGAATAATAATAAATATTATATGGCAGTTATTTTATAGTGAAATTGATCTCAAATTAAAATATATTGGAGTAAAAGATTTTTTTAACAAACTAAACAGCAAAATTTTTTAAAATCTAATCTATTATGTGGAAGACGACGTTCTAAACTATTCATCAACTGTCATGTTTCGTGGGACACCCTGTACCTGCTAAAGAATGTAAAAACTGTAACTATATTCTGATCCAAGAGAAGCTCAAGAGTTGGTTCCCAGAACTCATAAACACCCTGCAATAAACTTTTTTTAGAATAAAACTATATAAACATTTTTGTTAGCTTTTTGTCAATATTCTAGAAATGGTTTAGTTCATTAGCTTCAATCTATGTCCTATGATCTAGGATCTAGGATCTATGATTTACGATCTATGATCTATGATCTAGGATCTCCTACCTCTGCGTGAAGGCCAGGATGAATCCCAAGAACTACATCAGGTTTCTCAACCTTCTTCTTTTCTACAAACCTGGAGAAAAATAGTGTAAAACTTGAACTTTTAATTTGATTTTAAACATTAAACTTGACTATGACAATGACCATGACCATGACCATGACCATGACCATGACCATGACCATGACCATGACCATGACCATGACCATGACCATNTGACCATGACAATGACCATGACAATGACCATGACAATGACCATGACAATGACCATGACAATGACCATGACAATGACCATGACAATGACCATGACAATGACCATGACAATGACCATGACAATGACCATGACAATGACCATGACAATGACCATGACAATGACCATGACAATGACCATGACAATGACCATGACAATGACCATGACAATGACCATGACAATGACCATGACAATGATCAATGAACCCACCTATCCCAGAAATCATGATATAATCCATCCCAAGCTGTAAGTTTACATCTCTGATGGATCAGCATAGGAGAAGAAGGGGAACAATCCTAAAATAAAATAATAAATATTTTTGATTTTCATAATTTTACAATATTGAAAGTTAAACCTGTGCTAGCTGCTGGTTAGCTGGGTCAGGACTTACAAGGGTCAGCTTTATCGGGTTGGTTGGATTGACGGCCAGAATCTTTAAACCATTCATAGTTTTATTTTCAATATTTTTTATCGTTGAAAATTACACAGGAATCGATCATTCCTATATTATCCTTGAAGATTGGAGATTAAGACATCTTAAAAAAATATGCATGCAATTTTCAGGAGAGGAATGGTTTGGCCAATGGTTTTAACTAACAATTTACTAAACCGATTTTCATTTTCTATCAAGGTCTTCAATCCGATTTTTTTAAATGATAAAATGTTTTAAGAATTTAAATACACTGTAGATCAAAAATATACCGGGTTGCAAATATTTAGGAATTGAGGTAAGTAATCAGTTAATATTCAACATTTTAAACTATCTGGTTTCTTCCTCAGTGAAAAATCCAGAATAAATCATCGTGGCCTAAACATAGTTAATTAAATAATTAAACATTGAAATTATTGATTTATAGATTTATAGATTTATAGATAAAAACTGTCATGATGTTCGGATAAAAACAAAAACAAAAATAAATTTTTAATAGTTATTAATCTTTAGAAATCATAAAAAAAGATTTTTATCAATCGAAAATTTAAGAAAACAAATATTTTGATAAAAATTGGTCCAATTTGGGAAAAGTCTGTACTGTACTGTACTGTACTGTACTGTACTGTACCGTACTGTACTGTACTGTACTGTACTGTACTGTACTGTACTGTACTGTACTGTACTGTACACTATACTGTACTGTACTGTGCTGTACTGTACTGTACTGTACTGTAATCATACATAGATAATGTTAAAAGATTTTTTTTTAAAGGACTATATAGTTGTTATTTCCAGTGATCTTCATTTAAACAAGGGCCTTCATCTTACCAATAATAAGAAAGATATTATCGTTTTGCTATTGTTGTTAAATTCTGAAGCAGAAATGCGCAAGTCAATTTATAGAGAAGCCAGAATTGAAAATAAACGATGGTGAATATCGTGAATATCTCATTTATTCTTAGCGTTTTCAGACAAAGCTTTTGGGAATCGAACATGTCACTTGAAATTCCGTCTAGATGCTGCGAAAAGAAAAGACGACATTCGAAAAGCCCTATACCTCAGGTCGGTCTGTTCCAACCATATGAATAGACTTGGCCTTGTCTTTTCCTTTCTTCCCAACATGGGTAGAAATCACCTAAAATCATCAAAAAGATTAAAAACACATTTTACAAACGCGAACTTTCTAATCCGAAGTAAATTCAGATCTTCATTACACTTTAAAGTTCATACAATACAAATCTTATAAGAATAAAAAACAGTAGCGCAAATAGGGGGAGGGGCGAACAGAGTTTTGCCCCCCCCCCTTAGCATATTTCACCCTCTCTTGCCCCCCGGCTCACTTGACTCCAGCATGATCATGAAAAAAATACCAACATTTTTCCTTAGCGCTTCACGAATCATTTCTATTATGAATTTCTAACTATTTTCTCGTTTTCGTCTTATAAAAAGAAAGTCAGTCTTAATTTATCTTCTCAAAAAACCTGTATATATGTTACTTCTCAAAGGTATTACAATACATATAATGTTACACAAAACCTGACAATCTAAGAAGATAAACAAGAAATATAATAAGGATTATATCGGACTATTAGGACTTTTGCAGACAATAAGAGGAAAACAGCCGGATAAGCCCCTTAATGGGACAGAAAGACTATTATGAATTATGATCAGACGAAATATAGTCAAGTACTACCAGGAACTATTTATTACTTAGGACTGCACAGACCTACGATTAAGGGACTATATAGTGGACAAATTTAGCTAGTGGATAATTTACAAAAAATTGCTGTAGACTGTAATAGGGGACTTTAAATAAATAGTCAATATGACTATGCCAGGGACTAACAGACACTAAGAAATACATGAAAAGACATTATAACAGAATTTTTTCGGCGCGTCCATTTTAAAGCTGTTGGAAGTAAATATTTTTTTAACACAAGAACATGGCATGGTTATTTTCAGAGTTAGGAATATTATTGAACACAGAGCCAACCTCTCGACGATTAAAAAATGCTGTTTTTTTACATCAAAAATACAGAGCTTGCCACCCTACACCCCCCACCCAGCCCCTCAAAATTAAATTTCGCCCCCCCCCCCTCACAAAAGTGCAAGTTGCGCCACTGTTCAAGGCGAGCAAATAGTTTTTACCTTTCCTATGGTGAGCGGATGTGTAATAACTCCGGAAATCAATCTTTTTAAACTTTCAAGTATTTCCTCATCTCCTGGATAGGCTCTACACAAGAAGACGTATACAGGGGGGGGGGCAATGAGGACTCAGTCCCCCCTCCTGGATTAGTGAAAACTATGATTTCTACGGGGGTTTCAGGACCCCCCCCTGGACAAATTACTGTAATTACGCCCCAGAACGAAAAAGTTTTTCACAATTTGAGCTCCTTAAAAAATCTGACGTTTGTGCCCAGATGAAATAAATAATTAATTTCAATTCTAAAATTGTATTTCTATAAACGTATTTTTTATCTTCTATAATCCAGAGTTGATAAAAATTTAACCGTTGCATGATAAGAATATATTTTATATATTTTCTTAAACATTGTAAAACATTTTCAATTTTATAGTTAACTATTACAGCTTTAATAGATACTAGCTGAAGAGACCGGTGTTGCCCGTGAAAAAAAAGAATGTTAAAAAAAAATTTCAAGAAAAAAAATGTTAAGAAAAACTGTGAATTTTTTCCCCCAGGCTACCCATGAACGTGTCCACAAAAAATGTCAGCCCAATAGATCCAGCTGTTTGGCCATTCTATGAACATGGAATTCATACATAAGGACATTAAATACGCATAGAATTGCGTAAATGTCGTCTTTCTATTCTACAGTTTTATGGGCCCCTCTGTCGTCTTTCATGAATTTTAAATTTTTTATCAATTTTCAAGATTGACATTTTCAGTATGAATGATTTAAAAGTTTTATAAGAAAAACAATTTTTGTAAAATTATATTTTTCCCCACCTGTCTATATACTTCCACCATTGTTTGATGAGACCAGTTTGAATCTCCAGGGCTTTTAGAACCTAAACCAAACCAAATATTTTAATCAATCAATCAATCAATCAATCAATTGTTTGATAGGACCAGTTTGAACATCCAGGGATTTTAGAATCTAAACCAAACCAAATATTTTAATCAACCAACTAATCAATTATTTGATAAGTTTTTTGAACTTACAGAGATTTTGGAATATAAACCAAACCAAATATTTCAATCAATCAATTAAAAGCAAAAACATAGGTTTACCATGTATCTACATAGCTTAAAAATCCCCTTTTCAGTGAAATGGTCTGTGCACACTGCTGTTCCATAGTTTTCTGGTTTTCACTGTATTTAAAAAAAATTGTTATTTGATATATTTAAAAATTAATCTTTTACAGAACAAGAAATTCTTACATAAAACGATCTAAATATTTGAAATAAAATGTTTATTTCATAATTGTAAAGTTAATTCGATAAATTTCATTACTTTTGTCTATTTAGGGGCTTCAATAAAATCTGCATATTTTGCATTTAAAAGATTAAAATTCGAAAATTAAATTCAACAATAATTATAAAATTTAAATTTAAATGAGTTCACAATTAACTATGAAAATCCGCCAAATACAACATTAAACCGGTTTTATGAACTAAATTCTGTTGAAAAATAGATGCAACTTAAATTCGAAAGCCCGAGCCGTAAATAAGGCTCAACAACAGCTTAGACCCGAGTCGTATTTTCTTGAATTTTTTAAATCGCCGGCTCAGGGGCCGAGCTTTATGAAGTGGAGAGGTGGCTAAACTGCCTATAGCGCCGAGAAAATCTAAATCACCGATTCAAATCATCCTTAATCTTTGATTTTGAATAGGTGATTCAAGATTTGAACCGGTGATAGGTAGCTTAGCAACTTGGCTCAAATTCATCAAATTATATCCGAGCTAACTTATTACAGCATTAGACAATGTTAAGTGAGCCTTCATGTTTTAAAAATTTGTATCTTTTTTCATAATAAAATTTTAACTCACGTCTTTGTGGCAGTTCTACCAGTCCTTCCAGTCCTTGACTTAAACTTGCGTCTTTGTTTTATATTTCAACTTAAATAATGTCTTTGTGTAAAATCTATTGAAATTATACTTGCGTCTTTGTGTTATATCTGAACTTAAACTCACGTCTTTGTATTTTATCTGAACTTAAACTCACGTCTTTGTGTTATATCTAAACAAAATCTAACGTCTTTGTGTTATGTCTGAACTAAAATTCACGTCTTTGTGTTTTATCTAAGCTTAAACTCACGTCTTTGTGTTTTATCTAAACTTAAACTCACGTCTTTGTGTTTTATCTAAACTTAAACTCACGTCTTTGTGTTTTATCTAAACTTAAACTTACGTCTTTGTGTTTTATCTAAACTTAAACTCACGTCTTTGTGTTATATATGAACTAATATTCCCGTCTTTGTGTTTTATCTGAACTTAAACTCGCGTCTTTGTGTTTTATCTAAACTTAAACTCACGTCTTTGTGTTTTATTCAAACTTAAACTCACGTCTTTGTGTTTTATCCAAACCTAAACTCACGTCTTTGTATTTTATCTGAACTTAAACTCGCGTCTTTGTGTTATTTCTAAACTAAGACTCACGTCTTTGTGTTTTATCTAAACTTAAATTCTCGTCTTTGTGTTTAATCTAAACTTAAACTCACGTCTTTGTGTTTAATCTAAACTAAAACTCGCGTCTTTGTGTTTTATCTTAACTTATACTCACGTCTTTGAGTTTAATCTAAATTTAAACTCACGTCTTTGTGGCAGTTCCACCAGTCCTTCCAGTCCTTGACTTCCTGTGGGGGTCGACCCCACGTGGTTTTCCCCAGAATTTCCGGTAAATTCTTCGGTAGCGCGCCGGGGAAACATTCAACTATCTACAATATAGCAAAATATTTACAATAATAATATTAAAAATAATAATAATAATACTAATAATTAATAAACAAAAGAAAATGAGGTTTTGCCTTAAACTCAAATATTCTAATCCCGGTTCTTTGCAACCTGATGGTGTAAATGTTTGATAATTCAAAGTTAGATTTTTTAATCAAATAGAATGTATACTTTGACACATCTAAGATCTACGACGTTGGGTTAAAAAGATAAGGATTATAAAATTAGATATAGTGGTAAAATCTCATGTATTTAACTAGCTGAAGTGCCCGGCGTTCCTCATGGTATTTTTTAAAATCTAATTTTGGAAAAAATCATATTTTTTTAGTCTATGTTACCCCCGGGGCATTCAAGGGTTCCCTCAAAATATTTCAGCCCATTCGGTCCAACCTTTGTACAGCTATATACTCTATAACTTAAATAGAAAAGAAAAGAGCTATTATATAGATATCCACCATTAGGAGCAGACAATTATCAAGGTATTTTCTAGAATATTTTATATATGATGTTAGTAGTTTTTATAGCTTTTACCTGGTCAATCTTCTCGTTCTTTAGAATATGTTTATTTTGTTCAGTGATTGGGTTTAATTTATCAAGTTTCTTCAGAGTCACCTAAACATTTTTGTCATCAAAATGTTCGTTATTTTAACTTTTTTTTTATAAAGTATATTTAAAACAAACATTCTGGTAAAGATACAGTGATAACCAGAAAAAAATGGAATAGGAAGACTACATTATAGCAATACTAGAAAGCAAATAGTTTTACCAGACACTTCTAAAATTACTTTTTTTGTGAAATGGGCCTGTTTACACTGCACAATTGCTGTGTTTCATGGTTATTGAACTTTTTAAAGTTAAAACTTGATTCTAAAAGTCGTCCTTCTATTCCAGAGTTTTCTGGTTATCACTGAATAACAATTTATTTGTTTAATTATAGATGAAAAGAGTTTCTTATTTTCTTAAACAGCTGAAAAAAATAGGCACAAGTTTTGAGTAGTTCAGACAAGCTTATAGCTGATTTTCTCTAAACTCCTCAAAGGTGAAAAATTTTCAGAAATGAGAAGGTCTGAACCATAGAGTAATAAAAAGGAAGAGGTAAAGCTTAGCTCATTAGATGTACACAACCGACCTCCCTACTAATTAATTAATAGAGTGGTCGGTTGAATACATCACGATATGTTTTCGTATCTAACGCTGTACACTTGTATATATATAGAGTGATCGTATTTCTAAGGGGGATTTTATGGAATTGACCAATTTTTAGATTTTCTTTCTTTATTCAAAGAGAATTCGAGGATGTAGACTGCAAACAATTGACAATTTTCAAACATAGAGAATAGAATATATATTAGAGGGGAATTTACTCGAAAAAAGTGTAAAACGGCCATTTTGTTGTACTGTTTCCATACTGCAGGTGTACTTCACTTTTGGGCCCTGGAACATTATTTTATGGAAAATCTAAAATTAGTATTAATAGAAAATCAAATTATAAAATAGGCTGGTTTCAAAATTGACTAATGATCATTTCACATATATAGACTTTATGCCTTTCACTTTGAAAACGATGATTTTCCGTTATAACTATAAACCAAACGATGTTTTTTATTCACCTAATTCATTATAAAGTTTATTTAACAGCTTTAAAAAATTCGAAATTGAAATGGATAGTCTAGGGAACATACTGTATTAATGTACTGTATTAATCAACTGCATATAATTTGTGAACATTTACATGATTTGTACACTTTGAACTCCCTTTTAGGCTGAAAGGGACTGAAAAAAATCATACCGAGAGATTGTCTAAATTCCCCTCTAATATATATTCTTTTCTCTATGTTTTCAAATTTGTAGGTTTTCAACTTATTAGCAAAAAGTTATGTTAAAAATATTAAGTTTTTAGGGCATGAATTTAACTTAAAACATTCTTATTTTAAACATTTTTATTTTTTCTTCTCTTCAACTCTCTATCATAAACATGACAGTGCATGCAGGGTTATACCACAAAAGATGAAACAACGATAACGACCTGGAGCTCTTTACCCTAAACAGGCTGGGGCGGGGGAATCNGGTATTACTCTCTGGTCTGAACAAAAATATAGACCAAAACTCGATTGCATTCAAATTTATGTAACCGATTACATCTTGATTTAGCCTTGTTAGTCCAGGGCAAGGTTGTAAAATAAGGTTGGTTATTCACGATGCACTTCAATGTATGGAAAATGTCGTCTCCTAAGATAGATAGATATGAACCTAATATCACGTCACTGATTAGTGATTAAAGAGGCGAGAGTGATTTCATATCAGGTTTTTATCTATCTATCTTAAAAGATGACATTTTCCGTACATTGGAGTGCATCTAGAGTATTCAACCTTATTATACAGGGTGTCCCAAAAAAACATGGGAATTCAGTGACGAATTCGATATCGTCTTTGTTATGAATTAGCATTGTAATACCTAATTTCAAAAGCCATAATATTATTATGTCTGCTAGAGTTTATTTTATGTAAAGGGTAAAAGACTGTAAAGATGTGTCTAAAATGTCTCCGCAAGATCGATGAGCAATGAAGACGGACAAGTTTACTCTGTTTGTATACTGCAATTTTCTTGTTTTACTAAGTACAACCGTATGCAGTCAAAACATAAACAAACAAAATGTGAACATAGCAGACGAAACTCTTACAGATAACAGCTTTCTTAGTAGGTTTCACTATCCTAAATCAAAGAATTCTTTAAAAAGACGATATTAAATTCGTCACTGAATTCCCATGTTTATTGGGACACCCTGTACAACCTTGGCCCAGGGGAATATGACAAAAACTCAAGATAAAAATTGTTTAAACCTTGAAAGCAAGTTTTGTTTTCTCCTCTATCTCTGGACCGAAGGGTTTCCCTTCTCCGAACATTTTCTCCGGAGACACCAGGACTCCGTTCGGAGCCAGGATCCTTCACAATTAACAGTTTAAAGAGACTGTAAACGTTTTTTAGATGAGTTACAATGATAACGATTAAACCTTAATCGGTTTAAAAAAACTTATTTAACTCCCGTTCCATCAAAGTCAGAAAGAGAACGTCAAAAACCTTACTTGATTTAAAAATATTATTTGTCGGCGTCAAGCATTATAGAAATCGCTAGGTATAGCAACAAGGCGTATTTTCCGGGAGAATTTATTTATATTTCTGAGAAATTAAACGTTTTTGTATAAAATTGTAGCTTTTCATTATCATTATTTCTATTTTTTAACATACCCTAGACACATACAACTAACTATAAATATGTACATTTGTACTGCTTTCTATTGTGTTTAAGGTTCCCACAGATTTTACTATGTATTGACAACATAAATGAATAATAATATGGTTACATAAAATTGCATGTTACTATTAAAAAAACCTATTTTATGAAAATTATATGTACAGTTTTATTTTTACAAAAACAATTTCTCAGAAATATAAAAAAAGTTCTCCAGTAATGTTGATATGATTTCATAAAATTCCGTGTTACCATTTAAATAAAGGGATTTTATGAAAATTATATCTACTTAACACTGATAATTTAATTTCTCAAAAATATAAAAAATGTTCTCCCGGAAAATACGCCTTGTTGCTATACGTAGCGATTTCTATACGTTGGATTTCTTCCACTTTTCTTGAACACATATACAGAACGTTTAAAACTAAAAGTAAACCAAAAAATTTGACCTTGAATATTTTTGACTGAATTCTGAAGGAGGATATTTAATCCCGGTAGGTTCAGCCTTTTCTCCCATCTTTAAATCTGGAAAATAAAGTTCTACACTGTAAAACATATCAGCACAAAACATATCCTCATGAAACATATCAGCTCAAGAAAAATATCCTCATGAAACATATCACCATAAAACATATCATTACAAAGCATATCATCACAAAACATATCATTATTAAACATGTCATAACAAAACATATCATACATATCATCATAAAACACATATCCTTACAAAACATATCATCATAAAACATATCATCATAAAATATATCATCATTAAATATATCATCATTAAACACATCATCATTAAACATATCATCATAAAACACATATCCTTACAAAACATATCATCACAAAACATATCATCATAAAACATATCATCACAAAACATATCATCATAAAATATATCATCATAAAACATATCATAATAAAACATATCATAATAAAGCATATCACCATAAAACATATCATCATAAAACACATCATCATAAAACATATCATAATAAAACATATCATCATTAAACATATCATCATAAAACACATCATCATAAAACATATCATAATAAAACATATCATCATTAAACATATCATCATTAAACATATCATCATAAAACATATCAAAGCCGTACCAAAACAAAAAATATTAAAAAGATATATTAAAGATCTCAAAAATAGTGTAAAAGAACATTACTAAGTTTAAATAAAATATTGTTGAAAATGTTTCAATGCTATTTCTAAAAGGTTTCTAAATTTTGCATTAATTTCAATCTGCTTACATAATATTTATGATGTCATAAGATAAGGCAACATGAAAATATAGATAAAAATAATCTGAATGATTAAGAAAATAGTTATAGGTAGATATCTGAGAGCAAAAAGATAATTAACAGATTATCAGTCAAGATGGAACTCTTCATCTTTATGGCAATATTATTTGTTTTGGGTTTAATCTATGGATATGCTAATATGAAGAAGCCCACTGGACAAATTATTTCATCATTGGAATCTGATCTTGCTGAAATTGAAAATCTTTTAAAAGTTCAAGAATCTAATAATGATCCTAAAGAAAATAAAAACATGTTGAGCGTACTGAATGAAAAAGTAGAAAACAGTCGGAAAAATTTAAGAAAATCAAAACAAGTGGTTATAAATTTAGAAGAAAAACTGGAAAATGTTGAATGCGAAATTACTCGAAAAATTTTGATGCATAAAATTAAAGAAGAGCTCGCATGAACATTTTGAACCTAGAAAAAAAGCTGAAGAAAGTGGGCGTGTGATTTAAAATACGAACCTAAAATGAATCAATACTTGTTTATTCAAATAATGTTTTTATGATTTTATGGAAAAATTAAAACGTATGTAATTATCGTAATTTTTTCACAGTTATTTCTAACAGGCTAAAAATTATGAAAATAAAAGTGCTTCTTGCTAATTTTTTCAAAACTTCTCATAGATGTGAAATTTTTAATAATGAGTAAAAAATAGAACAAAGAATTCCAATAAAAAAGGGATGTCTTTAGAGGGGTTCGAACAGGGTTCCGAGGGGTTCGAACAGGGTTTTGAGGGGTTCATGGTCGCATGGCCCCCCCCCCCCCTCGTCACACTGATTTAACAGTTCGCGCCTTTTCCCAGCTCGCTGGGACTTTATCCTATTTTTTAATCTGGGAACAAGACCTAAATATTAAATTTAACTAATCTTCTGAAAGTGTAATGTGTGTGTGTATGTGTGTGTGTGTGGTTGTGTGTTTGCTTTGAAACTTTATGACAGAAACAATCTCAAGAACTGACGAGGGTCAACCCAGACCGAAATATTTCTTTTTAAATGTGGAACTAGCATCTACTTTATTTTTCGCTATGTTTTGGTCCATCGTCAACACGCAATTTAAAATGTGAGTGCAGTGTTTTTTAATAGTTTTTAAATTATTGTATAACTTAAAGTTTGCTTTGGTTACAAAATGTTTTTTGACAAATAATAAATAAGGTAAAACTAACACTTTTCGTGTACAATACTAGGCTTTTCGGGCTAATCAACTTTTTATTGTGGCTCTATTTGTGAGCATCTTTCTTTGTAAAATATTAAACAATAACAAAAAAGTTTACGGTTTCAATAATATTTTTTCGTGGATTTTCAAAATTTTTCGAAAATCAAAAACTTTTGGAGACACCTTTTTGTAACTCTGAGCATAAACCTTCCCAAGTTCCCAGGGGTTATGTGAGGTCCCACACAAATTTTGGGCCCGATTGGTTTAGCTGTATAGACGTCTATTGGATACAAGCGGACAGACAACCAGACAAGCAAAGTATAAATAGATTGTTTGTAATTGTTTGTCCAAGATTATTAATATTTGACAAATATAGAATATTGTTTTAAAATTCAGTGATAGTGATGGACCAAACCTTTGTAGAGTAAAAAAGTAGATGTTAGTTCCACATTTATTGTGAAAAAAAGGTTTTATACATACTCATGGCTTCCGCATCATAGTTTGAAAATTTTGTCAAAATTCAGCTTTTTTCTTTGGAGATAAGAACTTTTTAATCATCCATGTTGTTGCAAACATAAATTAGATTATCATTAGGATTTCTTACTTTGAAAAAAATTTGTTAAGGATAAAAAAAGAACATTATTATAATGAATATTCTTGTTCAGCTTATTAAAATCTATCATGCATAAAAACAAAGTTATATCCAATGTATGATAAAAGAAAATTATGCTCAAACAGGAAAAGTTATATAAGGCATTTTTAGTGCTTTTAAAAATTGAGTAATACTTTGAGACGTTAAACATCATTTCCTAAATAAATATAAAACAATTTTTTTAATTTAGTAAACCATGGAGTATAGCCCGCAATTTGTCCTGCACCCTAAATGTTCTTATCTTAAATTTGACAGTTAGTTAAGATGAATATTTTTCCGTATATACTGATTTCAGTATATTTCAGCATTTTCCTTATATTATATTTTTTTAATGTTCATTACATAAATTTGATACGTATTGCATATGATTTCATGTTTAAGGAGAAACCCTGTAAAGTTAAAGCGAATTTCATGTTGGATCAAAATAGGATATGTTTTTAATCATATAGCTCCTATTTCCGAAAAGCCATGTAGAAGGGCATGGTTGTCAGGCTCTAATAGGCAACCAAATGCGAGTTTCTTAAACTTGAGCGTAAAATATAAACTATAGAGGAGCTACAAGGTCACAAAATCATAAGAGTATGTTGGCTTAAGACTTTTTCTAGTCTGGATTGAACTAAAGTTTTTGTAAAATGTCTAAAATCAATTAATACTATTTCTTTGAAAAAAAATTCTTGTGAAAAATTCATAATCTTTTTACTGTGAACTTTTTCGGATATTCATAAAAAAACACATTATAAAAAGAATTAAATGTAAAAAATCGCAAAAATATATTTCCGTGTACGTGCAATACAATGTTGTACAGTGCAAAGATATGACCTAACAGTGCCAAATGGTTTTTTTTAGAACAAATCATTTATTAGGGGCGTAGTGGAGGTTTAGCTTGGGGGGGGGGTGCACTTTTGTTGCGCATAAGCGCGCCGAAATTTTTTTTGTGCAACCCCCTTAAAATGGAAAGTTTAAAAGCTATATTAACCTATACTTGACATGAGTCATCTGACCATAATTACCAATCATACCATTATAAAATCTAATAGAAAAAAAAACAAAAAACTTTTAGAAAATACATTTTTAATTGTTTGTAATATATCATATAAATCAATAATTATTATATCATGACTTGATTACACTGGCTTTTTAACGATACCTAAATCTGTATTTTGTGGCGCTTTGTGTTGATAAAAAATGTTCTCAAATTTTCCTTTATAAATATTCCCTAACCAATAAATAGGCCCGGTGCAGGTGTGTTTCATATAGATTATATATATTAATTAAAATAAAACTCTGTGCCAAACATCTTGCTCTGAGAGATTATCTATATATTCTAAATGAAACCCCGCGAAAATAAATTGTAAATAAGATTAAGGTACTAGAAAGAAAAGAATTTGATAATTTATCATAAAATGGACAAATTGTGACATTGTAAATTGCTAAGAAAAGAATATATATGTAAGTTTAATATATTAGGGCCTGCCTCTGGCTCTAGGGGGGCATGTATGTCTAAGGGGGACCTAGGGGTTGCATGTTTAGGGGCCACCCCCCCCCCCACTACGCCCCTGTCGTTAATACCTTTTTTGCCCCTTTCAATTTACAAAAGTGCTTATTGTACAATACAATGACATTTTTTATGAGACTTTTATGCATGCAATTATACCGTAAAAGGAAAAAGATTTTTTTGAAATAATCAATAGTACTTCAGGACTTTTTAGGTGAAGAGAAATCAGGATTTTTCCCACAAGTTTTTTTTAATATGACTTTATTAGATTTATTGATTAATATAGCTCGTCGTATTGAAATCTTGCAACAAGAACTTCATGTGGTAATACGGAATCTAAAAGAACTCGAAGATGGTCTAAGATGGTGAGATAAAAAGATGGTCTAACAAAATGCAGTGCAGATCTCACTCTTTTTCTTTCATTAATTTATAATTGTTGTTTATAATATGTATATCAGAGAATTGTTTTTTTCAATAAAGTTTCAATTTTCAGCTTAAATTCTTCTTATTTTTGTTAAATATTATTGCCTATATTATCATAAAACTGATACAGTTCTGGAATAGAAAAACGACTTTTAGACTTAAGTTATAGGACTTTAAATTGTCCAAATGAGCAATGAGAGTGAGACATAGCAATCGTTCATAGTAAACAGACCCATTTCACTAATTTATTCATTTAATAAGTGTCTAAACTGTTTGCTTTGTAACAACATCAAATACACCTAAGTATTGTCATAAAGTCGTCTTTCTATTTCAGAGTTTTCTAGTTATCACTTTAGATACAATAACTATGCAATATGTTATATGTAACACAAAATAACCTATTCAGAATTTGTTCGTTTTCAAATATACAATTTTATAATTCTATAATTATACTTAAACTATAATACAATCTTATCAGAATTATAATAAATTTCTTTTAAAAAACACTTGATCTCAGCAAAATCACACCAGGGTTGATTATATAGATTATACGTTTATAATGGTATATATATATATATATATATATATGTGTTGTTTAAATTGACAACAAACAAAGTACACTCTGGGAAATGGAGAGATGGAAAACATTTTCTTGCAAATCATTTTCAAAGACCTATTAAAAATTATGCTATCACTCTACCAAGCTTGTAAAATATGCGCTTAAAATCAGAATTTTTATACTCTTATGATGTTCACCATGCAATTAATAAATACCCTATCCACTATTTAAACGCACTATTTAATGAAAAGGTTTTATCTACAATCTACAGTTTTAAAAGCTGTAAAAGATGCAGTTGTCTTAAATTGCAATGTCACTCGATGCATACATTGTTTAAGAATAATAATAAATGAGCAGCTAGCCAGCTGCAGGTCAGTGCTCCTGTGTATAAACTAAATATATATGTTTTCAATTTTGCTTTCTTTTTCAAATAATTCCAGCTTTCCCGTGGAATTAAACTTTTGGAATTAGAACTTGAAAAATTTGTATTTCTTTTTAGTTTTGTTAAATTATTTTGTTTTTGTCAAACATTGACTTTTACTTTTATTTCCTTCAAAACTATAATTCCTTTTTAAGAAGGTTTAATGTCCGAAGCTCTGTTCCCAAATCTCAATATTCTCATGATAATGTCGTCTTGTCTGTTCCCAGTCTTTATCCCCCGGCTTAAACCGGTTTTACAAAATCCCAATACAGAAACAATGGCCGCCGCCTGGCGTTTGTTTTGAAAAAAAAATACAAATCCGCGAGTGAGAAAGTTTTTCGTGATTTAGTATGTTTAGCGGAGGGTAAATATTTATTATAAAATGGGGTTGGGGGAAGGAGGAGGAGAGGAGAAACCGAAGCGAACCAGGAATTCTCTCGGATTATCGAAAGAAAAAGCACAAGACGAATCTAAAAGGTAAACAAAGTATATTTACTTATTCTATTCCTGATAAACTTACGCAAATGCGTATTTAATTCTTTTTGGAAAATGACTATAAATTTAAAAATTATTCAGTTTATAAAATTGATTATTTGTCCTTAATAAATGCATAATATGGAAAACAGTGGGGTCTGTCCTATTGAACGATTTTTGAACCCCCTCCTATCAATTTTGTACATGACGAAGTTTGTAAGTTAGTATTCATTTATTATTGTTTAGGGTTAGGTTAGGTTAAGACATTATCTGGGCCGAGCGCTGCGGCTAGGGGGCCTAGCGCTGCGGCCACGGGTTAGGTTAAGTTAAGGCACTTTCTGTAAGATCCATGTACAAAATTGATAAGAGAGGTCCAAAAATCGTTCTCTAGGAAATTACCCTATATTTTATAAACTAAGAATAACGTTTGAAACGATTTTGGGTAATCCCCCCCCTGCTTCTTCGCATCAATTTTGTACATTGAGCTTATTTGTAACATATTGTCAAAGATGGATATGTAGCCGCAGCAACCTGCCCTCTTGTTGCGGCGCTTGGCCCCTGTCCTTGCTGCGGCACTCGCCCAAGCCCCTCTTAGTTTGTTCTAGCCACAACACTCACCCGAGCCCCCCTTAGTTTGTAATAGCTGCAGCGCTCGGCTCAGAACTTGTCCCAATCCATTATCCAACCTATCCCTAAAATAGTAAAAAATAGATTTAGAAAAAGTTAAAATCTGATCAATGACCAAAATTGATGTGAGGGGGGGGGGGGTCCAAAAAGTGTTCCTTGGACTGACCCTATTTGTTGGAGTTACTTTTTAATAATTGGTAAAATGTGTTTCAGATCTCGTGTGCACGCTCAGCGTAAGTTTGCCCAGGGTGCCGGGGGTCTGAGCCCCCACGTCAGTCCCATCAAGGAGTTCAGAGTCAGACCTAGAGATAATGGATCTTCTAGTTCTTCAAGTTCATCAGGTTAGTTTAGAGTCAGAACTAGAGATGATGGATCTTCTAGTTCTTCAAGTTTATCAGGTTAGTTTAGAGTCAGACCTAGAGATAATGGATCTTCTAGTTCTTCAATATCATCAAGTTAGTTTAGAGTCAGACCTAGAGATAATGAATCTTCTAGTTCTTCAAGTTCATCAGGTTGGATTCCTGAAATTGCTTATTTCAATCCTAACTCTCTAATCCCCCTTCTTAAATCTTTATTCTAATCCTAGCTCTCTAATTTAATCCCATCTCTTTAATCCTTATTCTATTCCTACCTCTTGAGTCCATAATATATTCCCAACTCATGAGTCCTTAATCTAATCTTAAATCTTTATTCTAATTCTAACTCTTAAGTCCTTATTCCAATCCCACTTCTTTAATCCTTATTCTAATCCCACTTCTTTAATCCTTATTCTAATCCTAACTCTATTATTTTAATTCCATTTCTTTAATCCTTATTCTAATCCCACTTCTTTAATCCTTTTTCTAATCCTTACTCCCTTATTTAATCCCTTCTCTTTAATCTTTAATCTAATCCCAACTCTTCTATTATTATTCTAATTTGTATGTTTTAATGTAATATATGTAAAAGGAATCATAAAGCCGATATAATACTTTGTATTCTTCTTAAATTCCAGTACACTCGATGGAAAACCTTTCTTCAATGAAAATTATTAAATTTGATAAATACAGACTTATCTGATCTGATATTGTTATGTACAAATATAATAATGTTGTATGTACAAATATGATATTGTTGTATGTACAAATATAATATTGTTGTATGTACAGATATAATATTGTTGTATGTACAAATATAATATTGTTGTATGTACAGGTCCAACTGTGTTGGCGAAGGGTGAACGTCCTAAGACAGAAGACTTCTTAACTTTTCTTTGTCTCCGAGGAACTGAACATCTTCCACCAGAACTAGACTTTTTTAATCAGGTGAGTCGAATAGACGCCATCTTGGTCATTCAGGCGCCTTTTAGGTTAATCAAGCGCCATAGAGGTCAATCAGGCGCCATATAGGTCAATCAGACGCCACATAGATTCTTCAGGCGCCATTTAGGTTAATCAGGAGCCAGATTGGTTAATCAGGCGCCATTTTGGTCATTCAGACGCTATATAGGTTAATTAGGCGCCATATAGATAAATCAGGAGCCACATAGGTTTATCAGACGCTATAAGGGTTAATAAGGCGCCATATAGTTAAATCGGGCGCCATCTTGGTCTATTTTGCGCCATTTTGGTCAATTAGGCTCCATACAGTTAAAACAGGAGCCATTTTGGTAAATAAAGCGCAATATTGGTAAATCAGCACCAGCTAGGACAGTCAAGCGTCATCTGTTCAGTCAATTGCCAACTCAATTTGTCATAATTTGTTAAAAAAAAAGCAAAAAAAAACAATAAATAACATTTTTTTTATGTTTGTAATTCAGGTTTTTATCATCTTTTCTCAACTTTGTATAATATACATTTACTTCAAGAAAAATAAGAATTATGTTTGTTAAAATCTTATATATAAAGATTGTTCATTATTTAGGTTACCGTTACAAGTACTGCGGCAACTAGCGACGATTCTTTCGGTGAAAGCGACGAGGACAAGAGGGATCCCGAGGTCGATAAGAACGGTGTCGCGAGGAAGTCTGTCGCGAAGAAGAACGTGAAGGAGAAGAAGAAGGTAGAGAGCGGGACGTCTACTCCTGTAGGGAGGAAGAAGGACGGATTGAAGAAGGACCAGGTGGAGACGGGAGGACTGAGTCGAGCCCAGTCAAGGGACAGTGCGTCCTCTGTCGAGAGGACGGCGGAGAAGCGACAAACGAGGTCGAAAGCGGAAACCGCCTCTCCAAATTCCAAGGTCAGCCGAAAACATTTTAATATTTTTTTTAGATTAAAGGGTGAAAAAGTACAATCCAACGTGACTATTTATTTGTCTTAACCTAGATGTTAGGATAGATAGAAAGGTCTCTTATATTATTTATTCTGAGTCGGCGATTTAAAAAATTCGGGAAAATGCGGCTCGGGTCTAAGCTGTCATTGGGCCTTATTTACGGCTTGAGCTTTCGGATTCAAGCTGCATCTTATTTTTAACGGAGTTGAGTTCAAAAACCGGTTTGATATTCTATTTGGCGGATTTTCATGGTAGGAATTGGCGCATTCCGGATTTTTATGAGAACAAGACGCAACATTGAGCCTTATCTCCACTAAAACCAACCAAGGTCAATTTTCTTTTCATTGGGTCGAGCCGAAGATCTTGCAGCTGTCAATCTCGTGACACAAGCTGTCGTCAGAGTTGGGTCTAAGATTGGGTCTAAAAGTCGGGTTTAAGGAATTACGACTCGAGTCGAAGTTTTTAAATCGCGAGCTCTGGTTTCTTCATGATTTAAAACATTTTCTAACCAATTATTTTTCAGGCCAGCGCAAAGAATGAATCTGATCGCGGTCAGCGTGCCCGGGCTCGTGGTATTGCCAAACAGAAAGACGAATCTGAGTCCTCGGACGATAGTTCGTCGGAGGTGGACGAACCGGAGGATAAAGGTGGACGGCGGAGTAAAGTTGATAAAAGTGAATCTGAGGCGGATGCGGATGAGGAAGCCTCATCTCGTGAATCCAGTCAGAGACCTAATACGAGGAAATCTGAAGGTGGTAATAATAAGAATGCCTTAAAATAAAAATTTTAAAAAAGTCTTATAGATCACTCCCCCCCCCCCCTTTGATTTGATTTCTATCCATCCCTCCCTATAGTTAAGGTACGTTTGCGCGCGATCGGAGAATTTTTTTGAAAGGTTTTATTCGCTGAATTGAAGAAAACAAATGAATTTTCTAAGAAAAATAAAAAAAATTAGGTGGTAAGTATCAAAAAGTAGGAGACAACTTGCCTTTTGATTTCCAATTTTTTTATTATTCCCCTCATATTATCGAAAAATCCCCCCCCCCCCATGGGGGTGGGTAATTATTAAAATTACAAACCCCTGGAATATTTTTATTTAAACTATTCTTTTCCAAAAAGAGATATTAAGACATTTTAGTTTTTTTTGCAATTGTGAATATGATCCCAGCCAGCCTCTCAACGTTAAATTTTTATGTTAAATATTTTTTTCGTAACTAATTCTTAATTTTAGGAGGTTTGGCGAAAGCAAAAGCATCTCCGCTGTCTCGCTTACAGCAGAGGGAAGCTAGATCTAACAGCCATGACAGCAGTGGTTCCAAGGTTTGTAAACAATCATATAATAATTATCTGGTTTTTTCTATTGATCTTCAAAAAATGTACCCACTAGTAGTATTGAAGAAAGTGTAATGGCATTTTGATTAAAAAATCTATAGCTCAGCAGAAATTCAGAAATGTACTTTTAATACTGCAGAAGTGCACCTAAAAGAGTACGCGTACGCGTAATTTCAAGTAACCTGTTATGGAAAGGCAATGTCAACGGTTACCATGAAAAGTTTTGTCTGAGGTCAAAACTTTTGAATGGGATATCCTTAATCCCGATCGGTTAATTAATCTGGAGATTAATAACAAGAGTAGAACAAGATTTATTTAATCTAGCGTAAGAAAAAAAGTGGATCAAGCATTAACCCTGATATCTACAATTCAAAAGTTCCCAGCTCTGATCAAGTATAAATAAGATATCAATATTAATTATTTTAAAACTCATTATTTTCTATTGTAGGTTCACTATAAAAGTGACTTCAGCAAAATAAATAGGAATTAACAGAATTATACACTTTTAAGCTTAGAAAAACGACAATATCTTCCACATTATTGATCAAGCAAAGGTTTTAAGGATACCGTTGTGAATCGAGGATTGCTATGAAGGGCTGGAGGCTTTCTTGCTAGGTTTTCTCCTTTGGAAAGTAGATTAGATTAATTTCTCCAATTTACACAAATAAATCTTGACAAAAATATTGTTTAGGAAAGTATTCAGGCCAGTGTCCGCCCCTCCAGGAAAACGAAAGAAGCAGCAAAGGTAAATTTTGATTCATTTTAAGGACAAAAAATCGAAAGAAGGACTGAACAAAAATCAGAATAGAGACAAGACTAAAAATCAGAATAAGGACAAGACAAAAATCAGAATAGGTACAAGACAAAAATCAGAATAAGGACAAGAGAAAAAAAAACAGAAAAGGGACAATACAAAATTCAGAATAGGCACAATACAGAAATCAGAATAAAGACAAGAATAAAATCAGAATAAGGACAAGACAAAAATCAGAATAGGGACAAGACAAAAATCAAAATAGGGACAAGACAAAAATCAGAATACTGACAATACAAAAATCAGAATAGGGACTAGAATAAAAGCAGAATAGGGACAAGAAAAAAATCAGAATAGGGACAAGAATAAAAGCAGAATAGGGACAAGAA